GAACTGAAATCATCTTCTATATGTGTGTGTTTACTGCTTTGTCTTACCCCTGGGATGGCAGCTCAGTGAGAGGCAGGAATTCAATCTTGCTCACAATAGTACTCAATATATACTTATTGAATGAATTAACTAAGAAAGAAAGGAGGGAAGCGGGGGGAGAAAGGATTTCAAACATCATATGCATAATCACACAAGTAATTATATTCCTTACATTTGTAGGAATATTAAAATTCCCTCTTCCCCAAAATAACAACGGTGTGTTTCCTGAGTGAAGAACCTAGTCCCACTCACAGTTAAATATCGCAAGAGAAATACCCTCACCTTATGTAACAAATCCCCTCACCACCCCCAAAAAAATGTTCAAACAGTCAGCAAAAGACTGCTTCAGTGCTAAGATTTCACTGATAATGACTTTGATATTAAACTTCTGAGAGGTGCCAATTTTAATTAATAAGGTCACTCTGGGCTTAACTTCCATTAAAGATTGCCTGTTCTCTTCGGCATGAACCTTCAAAATTAAATCCTTCTCCCTGCTGGAGACAAAGTCATGGTAATTTTCTGAGGATGTATGGTTCTCTTTCTTCCCAGAAAAACACACTTTTCCTCACTGTTCATACAGATAACTCAGTTACATTACTGGCACTCCGACTATCTTGCAGAGAAGAGGTGAGACTGAAAGAAGGGAGGAGGAGGAAGTGAGGACAGGGCCAAGACATGAATACGAACATACTCGAATCACAAGACCCAGGTTAATCACCAATGACTAACATCACCAACTTTAACATGCATAATTTCATAGTTTTCTCAAGCTGGTGGCAGGAGAGAGAAATTGCAAATATGAGGAAGGTTTGGCAAACTCTTGCAGACTTGAAGATGGAGGGGCCACGTGAGAAGACACATGGCCACCTAAAGGAACATAAGACAGCACAGAACAAGGACTTCCATTCCACAACTAAGTACTGGGTAGGAAGACTGCAGAATCTCAGAAGGAAGGTGGGTATGGTGGTGGGCGGGAAGTGATCAACCAAAGAACTTGTATGCACGTATGCATATTCTATGGACAATAGGGTGGTGAAGGCCTGGGGTGGGGGGCAAAGGTGAGCTAGAAAAAGGGAACACATGTAATACTTTCAACAATAAAATTTTTTTTTAAAAAGTGCTGGATGGGATAATGGTCTGAGAAACAAAACAAATGGCCTATCTGAGTCCGAACTCAGGACCTGTGAGTGTAACCCTATTTAGAGAAAAGGTCTTGGCATGTAGTTAAGGATCTCAAGATAAGCTCACCCTGGATTTAGGGTAGACCTCAAATATAATGACAGACATCCTTATAAGAGAAAGGCAGAGGCAAATCTGAGACAGACACACAGAGGAGAAGGTCAAGTGAGGACTGAGGCAGCAACGGGGGTCACGCTGCCATAAACCAAGGATGGCGGGCAGCACCAGAAGCCAGGAGAGAGGCGTGGATTCAAGGTCAGACTCTCCAGAAGTAACCAACTCTGCTGACACGTTGATGTCAGCCTTCTGGCCTCCTGAGCTGGGAAAGAGCACATTTCTGTTGTTGTAAGCCAGTCCGGCGGGGTCCTTTGTTACTGCAGCCCTAAGAAACGAATAGGAACTGCGAGGAACCATTCTGCCACCAACCTGAATGAGCGGGGAAGCAGCTTTCTCCCAGGCTTCAGACCAGGACTCGTCCTAGTGGACAAGCACCTGCTTCAGGCAGCATGAGCTCCGTAGCAGAGAACCACGTCCCACGGGATCTGTGGGCCTCTGACCTAAGGAGCGTGACCCAACAAACGGATGTTGCTGTAAGCCACAAAGCGTGTTAACGTTAGCGAATACTGACAAGCCAAAGTTAAAATCTTGATGGTGAGCATCCTTTCCTTGGAAATGCCCTTGAGTAGCGTTTCAAAATTGTGATCAAAGGAACCCCAGAGTTCCGGGAGCTGTTAATAGCCCCCGGGAAAGAGTGTCCGAAGGTCATCTAATTTTTAGAAACGCTGAGCTGTAGAAAGTTAAATGTGTGAACTGAGAAACGCACAAGCCAGGGAACAGGAAGCACAGAAAATGTCCCAGAAGAAACATGTCCCCAGGCAGGCGGATGAACATCGAGGAAGCCACGGTGAGTAAAGGCGGCCTCGATACTTATTCCATTTATATTAAGTAACATTTCTATTTGCATGACTTACAAACTTCTTCGGTTAAAAAAATTATTATTAATGTCTGAAATACTTGGCTCTTCCCGACAGTACATTCCATAAAGGCAGTGGCTGAGCCTGTCTTGGTCACTATTATATTCCAGCAACGAGAAATATGCCAATGACATAAGACACATTCAATTAGTGCCCGTGAATATCAAATGGGCCGGTGAAGAGAGAAAACATTCTCTCCCAAGCTCGGATCACGTAACTCTCACGTGCAGACTCTGCTGGAAAGAAGCTGGTCAGCCTGTTGCCAACTCCTCTGCCTCTTCCACACCCTGGCCTCCCCCATTCTTTCCTGGGGTGCCCACTCGCTTTCCACCCAATCATACCCAGGTTTCATAACTCAAATACCATCTCCCTATCAACAGCAGTATAATCCTCTACGTACAAAAGGCACAAATACTTGTAACTGAAGTCCATCTCTTTAAAAAGCAAAGCATGCACGCTGAGAAGAGGTGATGGGTCTTGGATATTAGTTCACAGTTTAAGTGTCATTCATGGTATTTATGACAGGTATGGGGATGTCACCCTGACCCGGTCGCTGGATACCCAGACGGTGGGTCAGTCGTCAGTCTGGGTGTGTCCCCGGGCTGTTTCTGGGGGGGTCAGTGTGTGAGTCAGCAGACCAGTAAAGCAGCGGCTCTCCCTAACGTGGACAGTCCTCACCAGTTAAAGTGAAGACCTAAACCGAGCAAAAAGGCTGAGGACGAGGGAACTCCTGCTGCTCCCACTGCCTCTAGTTGGGACCCTGGTCTTTTGCTGCCTTTGGACTTGAAACATCAGCTCTTCCTGGGTGTCCAGCCTGCCAGCCTTCAGACTGGGACTTCACCAAAGGCTTTTCTGGGTCTCGGGCCTTAGGCCTCAGACTGGGACTTCTCAGCCTTCATAAGCAAGTGAGCCAATTCCATACAATAAATCTCCCTCTCCCTCCATATATGTATATGCATCCTATTTGTTCTGTTTCTCTGAGAACCATATCTAATATTTCGCTTAATAAGGTATTTATTCTTACCACTGAGTTTTCATTCACATCACACAACAGTTCTGATAAGCACCTTGAACACAGGTATTACATGGTCTTTAACAAGATTAAATTGTTATCCTTCCTTAGAATTTTGCCCGAGCTAATAGAAAAGACACCCGCTCTTTCCCTGGGCTCAGCGCCCAGGAGCCGTTTCCCAACAAGGAAGAACCTCTCTGAGAGCAAAGCCACGCAGGAGTGGGCAGCCGGAGCGATGGAGACGGACACACACACACACACACACACACACACACACACACACCTGGCTCCGTAGAAATGAACTCAAACCCCCCCAAATCCAGTTTTACTTGATGCCAGTGCAAGTCCTGGACTTCTCAGTGAGTAAATAATTATTTTCCAAGTTAGAGTCCAGGGTTACTACTTGCAAATAAAATACTAATACAACACTCTCCTGTAAAAAAACTGAGGGGCCAGGAAAAGCCTGTCGCCTTGGCTTTATCCAAAGTGTTAAGGTCAAAAAAGGATCAAAATGTTAACAAAATTGGAAGTACTGACAAGATATCTACAGTAGCCCCCACTTAACCCCAGTTTCGCTTTCTATGGTTCTAGCATCTGTGGTCATCTGCAGCTGAAAATATTAAATGAAAAATTCCGGAAGCAATACTTAAGTGTTCATTTGTGTGCCCTTCTGAGTAGCATAACTAATTCTTGCACCGTCCTGCCCAAGATGTGACTCCCCCTTTAGGCTGTCGGATAGCA